GCAGTGTAACCGTAGACAGACACAGGTCCGGTCACGCCGTGTGTGCGTTTGTCGCCTATAAACAGAACTCACATGGAGGAGAGCGAAGTGAGGACTCAGCACTGAGGCTGCAGACAGCAGCCTGACAGCAGCTGCTCTGTGTGCGGACTCACAGTCCTCTGCTGTGTCCCAAAGGTGTTTGGGACACCTGGGCCTAACTACCAGTTTACCTGCCAGTACCGTTTGTTTCACTTCTTTAGGATTTTACAATTTGCCAGCACAACTAGCAGCTACCCACCAGAGCAAACGATGATAAACTAGCAAGAGCTCAATTAAAGTTGATTTTTTTAAAGAAATAATTGTTTCATATATGCCGAATTTTGAATAACCTCATAGAAATGAATAGGAAGCCAGAGATAATGTGTTTGCGTCATGCAGGTTGGCACTTTGCACACAAAATGACTCATTTGCGCAGTTTTTAAATAGAGTTTGGTGACAGAAACAATGGCAGCGTATACACCCTCACAGCGCGGCCGCTTGGTGGTGGCTAACCTGCGAGCTCAGCATGGAGTTACCCTGCTCCACCTCCCCGAACTCCGTCACCTTCCAGCGGCTCCACAAAGCCCTGGGCAGCGACTCAAAGCCCCGGGCAGCGACTCAAAGCCCCGGGCACCGACTCAAAGCCCCGGGCAGCGACTCAAAGCCCCGGGAAACGCTTCAAACGAACACGCGTGAAATCACGACAACTTACTTTAACTCGTGCGGCTGAAGCTCTGCCGTCCCTGCGCCGTTTTCATCGCTCGTGGTCCTTTAAATAAAAGCCACGTGTTTTTGTCCGTTTGTCTGGGTTTATTGCGGAACAATCCCGCGCGTGGAGCGGGGCTGTCCTCGCGCCTATTGCTACGATAATGCCCCGGCAGACTCCAGTATACTCTGCAGGAGCTGTCCCCGTGTCCGTGTGTCCACGCTCACTGAAGCAGCAGTCCACAGTCACCGGGATCTTTGTCCATTGTGTGCCTCCTCCCCACGCGTCTGTCCGCGGACTGCTCCTCTGCTGCCGGGGCTCCTGTGAGTAACAGCTGGCTCACAGTCATCCCTGTGCCCGCCCCGCGGAGAGAGCCGGGGCTGTCAGGGAGCAGACACCGGAGAGGAGGAGGAGGGAGGTGGGGATCCGGAGTCAGAGACGGGGGGGCCAAAGTGGAAGAGGAGAGCAATAATGTGACTGATCCATACCGTGGATTTATTGATTATGCAGCCTGACTCGAGCAGGTCTGTAGGGGCGACAGCAGAGCTGATTCTGATGTGAAAAGAAACCAGGTCGAGCTCTCTGATATCTCCGCTTAATCACTGAAGAACAAAGGTCAAGCCCGCGTGTTACCAGCCATTTATACGAGCCGTAAACGGAGCTCATCAGCCTCTGCTGGAAACACGGTGGTCCTGTGGGCTTTTATTCATTACTGCGCATGTTTATGCCAGATGCCTGACCCACTGAGCGTGGAAACACGTAGGACAATCCTGCAGGTATATTAAGGTGGACTTATTCCCCCCTTATTCAATTCAGTTTTAATTATCCAGCGCCAGCATCAGTCAATCATATACTGTGAGGTAGAGCCTACAATGATACAGAGAAAAGCCCAACAATCACATGACCCCCTATGAGCAGCACTTTGGTGACAGTGGGAAGGAAAAACTCCCTTTTAACAGGAAGTTATTGTTTTGTTTTTTGTACCATTCAAAATAATCTTTATTCGTCTTCCCTTTGTCCAGCCACTCCGCCCACACACTGAAACAAGCTGTTTTATTTGCCCCTTGAACACAGAATGATGCAGGAATAGTCAAACATCTGTCCTTTAAATAAATTAACCCCTCACAGATGTTTATAGGCAGTTGTCTGTTAAAAGCACAGCCTGCTCAGCACCTCCCAATCTGTGGGGGTTGCTCCTCGTTGGCTTCCTGAAGCTGGCCAAACAGAAGAAAGCAGACTTTTAGTGAAGGCGTGGGCCTAAAGCAGGGATGTCAAACACACTGTGAGCCCACTTTGACCTGATGTGGACAGGACCAGTGACACCTCAGGGCTAACGTGACAAATTAAACAAGGGAAAAAACTGAGCTGAAATTCAAAGGCAGAAACTACATTTTAAATTTCCCCTCTGATTCTTTCAGTCCTGAGAGTTTGTCTGTCATTAGCAGCCATGTTGGACACATGTTAGAGACTCTGACTCATCTGTAATGTCTTTGAAGGGTTTTATCTGAGCCCTATTTTCTTTTAGTATTCTTCCTCACAGGCTCCATGAAACCAAGCAG